ACAATTTCCGACAGCCTTGACAATTGTCCGACAATTTCCGGCAGCATTCTCAGTGACAAGTCTATAAGTTGAAATCTGATCCAACTTGCTTGAATTGTAACTCGACACTAGATTAGAAAGTCACATCTTATAGATAAATGTTAATTTTTAATTGCAGTTCTTTTCACGAATAATCACGATTTCTTTGAAGATTCAATGGTTATTGTTTATTAGCCTCCTCCGCAGGCATCTCACTGAGGAATCGGGTGGTTTTTTTCAAAACCCATTCGCAGGCTAAAACCCATAGAGAGGCCTGCGGAGGAGGCTAATTGTTTATATTTATAGAGCGATCTAATTAATTGTGACAATATATACTCACTCCCCCGACCCTAGTAAACAATACGCCATTTTACGCAAAATCCGCGGGTCACGTGACCAGACCAGACCAGGGTATTTCGCCCCCCAAGAGCAAATACCCTGGGTACGAGGTTGTATTCAGCGCTGATCGAAGACAAAGAGAAAATAGCACAACAACTAAAGGAAAAACACGAAAAAGCTTATGACGAAGCTGAATTACGACGGCTAGAATTGGAAGATAAATAATTTCAACAAGAAGAGCAACGACGAGCTGAAATTCGCGAAGCACAAGAGGAACGCGAACGACAATTATGGCAAGAAAGGCACGAAGCTGAATTACGCATGACTCAGAGAAAGATAGAAATAGAAAAGACCGCTCGTTCATCTGCAGCGAAATTACCAAAGTTAAAAATAACACCGTTTAGTGGGACCCCCACAGATTGGGTGCGATTTGAGAACATGTTTTTGACACTTGTTCACGAAAAAGCGAGTACAGCCGAAGAAAAATACGGGTTTTTATTGGAAATGGTGAGCCCAAAAGTGAGGGCAAAGATCGCTAATTTGAAACCAGGTGAAGTCGGTTACAAGATTGCATGGGAGAGATTAAAAAGCGAGTATGGTCACCCCAAACATGTTATCAATGCCCATATGGATGCCATAATTAACTTAACTCCAGTAAGAGGACATAATTATGAAAAAGTCCAAAATTTCTATGAGAAATTAAGCAAGAATTTCGATGCACTTCAAACTCTGGGAGAAAGTGAAAAACTTTCTGTTATGACTACAATCAACAAGTTGCCCCACATAAAACCCGACTTGGTTCGAGCGGACGATGACTGGGAAGAATGGTCCATGGAAGTACTAATAAAGAATTTGCAAAAATGGCTTCGACGGAATAAAGTGGATGATGCGAGCAATCAGAAAGAAACCAGATACAAGAAACCAGAAGGACACTGGTATCAAAAGACATCAGGACCCCCAAAACCTCACTGTGTTTTTTTGCGCGAACAATGAACACTGGAGTGATCAATGCAAAACAGTGAAAGGATTGGCCGACCGAAAGAAATTCTTCGCTGAGAAGAATCTGTGTTTTAACTGTGGTCGCACAGGGCACAGGGGAAATCAATGCCGAAGTCGTGGTTGCCTGAATTGTAATGCCAAACATCACACAAGCCTGTGTGATAAGAATGAAGACAACCAAGAGAACAAGAAATCATTAACGGGATTTACCACATTAACCGAGGAGAAATCGCTTCCAGCCATTATACCTGTCAACATAAAAGGACAGACCCTGTGGGCATACGTACCTCGACACTGGCTCAAGTCGAAACTTCATTTCACGCGAGGCTGTGAAGAAACTCGATTTGAATCAAACACATCATGAATCCCGCGAGATTGTAACCGTGAATGGTACCTCTACTCAATCCATGCCTATTTTCCAAACGACCATAACTTCTCTTGATGGGAAAGTACAGGAAGAAATCGAACTGACTGGTTCCAGACTTCAAGATTTTACCACAGTTAAGAGACCAGATATGAATGAACTCAAGATGAAGTACACCCATACTCAAGACAAAAGATTTTACATGACCGCCAAAGGGGAACATCCAATTCATCTCATACTCGATGATGGCACATACAGCAGGATCCGAACTGAGAAAGTTTACAAAGGAAATCCCGGAGATCCCCTTGTGGAGGAGACAACATTCGGATGGGTCATACATGGTGGTGAGGATTATTCGAGCGATGCCTGTATGTTCACTAGAGAAATTTACGATTACGAACAGTTATATAGTCTTGATGTTCTCGGAGTTGAAGACCGTGGTGAAAATGATCAAATGCAAGTGCTTGCTGAGTTTCGAGAGAACATAACCAGACAAGAAGATGGCAGATACCAAGTTAGCATACCATGGATTCCAGGGAGTAAGTTGACAACTACAAACGAACAGCCAAGCAGAAGACGACTGTTCAACGTGAACAAAAAGTTAGCGAAAGACGAAAACCTGAAGCAAGAATATGGGAAGATTATCGATAATCAACTAGCAAGCGGTGTGATTGAGAAAACCCCAGACGAGCCGTCAGGAGAGCGAGTGTACTACATGCCACATAAGCCAGTCGTAAGGCAAGACGCAGCGACAACGAAAGTGAGAATGGTCTTTGATGCGAGCTCCAAACCCCATCCACTAGCATCCAGTATTAACAATTGTATGTTTACTGGGCCTCCCCTCCAACCGCTATTCTGGGATATTATGGTCAGAGCAAGAATATCGTCAACTCTGCTTCTTGCAGACATTCAAAAAGCCTTTTTACAGATAGCAATCAAAGAAGAAGACAGAGATGCCTTCAGATTTCTCTTCGAGCGCGACGAAAAAGAGGAACATTTTCGGTTTGCCAGAGTTCCATTCGGGGTTGAAGCCAGCCCATTCTTACTCGGTGCTACATTAGAATACCACTACGATCAACAATCACCAGAATTAGAGGAAACAGTGACTGCCCTTAGAGAAAATACGTATGTGGACAATATCATGCAAACGGGAAATAACATTGATAAGTTGGAGAAGTTTAAGAAAGAAAGTGAAGTTATTCTTGAGAGTGCAAAATTACCGATTTACAAGTGGGAGTCGAACATCGCGACATTAGAGGATGAGAACATGTCAAATCCTAGCAAAATTCTTGGTCATGTTTGGGACAAGCGTGAAGACACTCTAGAAATACAAGTACCAGCATGACCTGAGACAGAACCAGTTACGAAACGAAGCATCTTGAGTCAGCTTGGCAAAGTGTACGATCCATTGGGAATAATATCACCCACGATGGCCGAAGGAAACACATTTACAGAGAGGCTTGTGAAGAGAAAAAGGGATGGAATGCCGAGGTTTCGCCAGAATTGAAGAAACAGTGGCACACATGGAACAAACAACTAAAGAACGTGAAAATACCGAGGAGCTTAACAGGAAATTCGAAGGAAACGAAGTCTATCGAGCTCCATGTGTTTGCCGACGCAAGCAATCTCGCATGTTCTGCAGTAACCATAGCACTAGTTGAACATTTATCTGGAACGATCAAAGGGTTGCTGACATCGAAGTCCCGAATTTCAAAAAGAAACACTTCGATACCCAGATTGGAACTCGTAGGAGCTCACATGGCTGCGAACATGGCGAAGAATTTAAATAACGCTCTTCATCGACACCCAATCAAGACCATTGTGATCTGGTTAGATAGCATGGTAGTGCTTTACTGGTTGACCAATCCGGGGAAACCATGGAAGACGTTTGTCTCCAATCGAATCAAGAAGATAGCTGAGATAACCAACGAGCTTGGTATCATTTGGAAATATTGTCCGTCAAATAACAATCTTGCTGATCTAGGGAGCAGAGGAGCAACCATAGAAAAATTGCAAAACGAAAGCTGGTTTAACGGTCCAAATTGGTTATTAGAGAAAGAACAATTTGGCCAGAGCAACCCAATTTGAAAGTAACTACATCTGTCAGTCAAGAATGCAAACCAATTAAAGAGCAAGCACTGTTTACGAAAGATCGAGAGCCAGACGAATGGGACGCTTTGTTAGAAAGAAACACATACTGGCGTACATTGCGAGTAACATCATGGGCATTAAGATTTCTAAACAACTGTTTGGCAAGAGATCGTCGAAACCAAAAGCGATCGGGGCCTCTTGTAAGCGAAGAAATTACAGTTGCAAGAAACGCTTGGGTAAGGAGAGTACAACAAGGTGTCAACCATGAATTACAAGCGCCAGGTTGGAGAATCGTCGAAGACGAAGTAACGAAAGTTCTCAAGTGTAAAGGAAGAGTAAATGGCATAAATACGAGCCAATATACCTTGACGGAGGACAGTTCGTAGAAAAGCTAATAGCCCACACCCACAGCAAGATCAAACATTTCGGTGTCGCAAATACCCTGGCTGCTTTGAGAGAACAGTGGTGGATACCACAACTTAGATCAAAGGTGAAAAAATTAATCAACAATTGCAATATCTGCAAGTTGTATTCCACGAAGCCGTATGGGTCACCATTGACGAGCAACATGCCCAGCTTTAGAACAGAATCTAGCGAACCATTCGAAGTCACCGGTGTCGATTACGCCGGGCCGTTAAGACACAAAATCAGTAAGAGAGAAGAGGGAAAGTGCTACGTATTAATCTTCACGTGTGCAGCATCTCGAGCGATCCACCTGGAACTAACCAAGAGCCAAGAAGCAGAGGAATTCCAACGAAAGTTCAACTCATTCATCGCTCGAAGAGGAAGACCTCGATTAATGATATCGGACAACGCAGCGACATTTAAAACGACAGCCAAACTAATCAAAGCCATTAGAAAGAGTGAGAAATTGCACGATTTCCTAGCAGCACAAGGTATACACTGGAGATTCAACCTTGCTAAATCCCCTTGGTGGGGAGGGATCTATGAAAGATTGATTCGGGAAGTAAAGAAGACCCTTTATAAGACCCTTGGAAGATCGCACCTTTCATTCGAGAATTTGGAAATGGTCCTCATGGACATTGAAATTAATATGAACAATCGTCCATTAACCTATGTCGAAAGCGAAAGTGGAGAGGAAGAAGTACTAACGCTAAACGTTCTCATCCGAGGGAGAAACACTTACCTTCTTGATGACATAGAGAATGACGTAGACGAGCTTACGAAGATGCTAAAGAGAATCGCCAAAGCAAAGAACAACGCTTGGAAAAGATGGCAACGAGAATACGTACACAGTTTAATGGAAAGCCAACGAGTAAACGGAAAGCCAGTTAACACGCCTGAAGTCGGTGAAGTAGTTTTAGTCGTGGGAGAAGAAAAGAACAGGAGCGAATGGAAGAAGGGAAAGGTAGTGCGACAAGTCAAAGGAAAGGACGGAGTGGTACGCGGCGTGGTACTTTTACACAAGGGACACACTATCGAAAGACCGTTACAGTTGGTGTGTCCACTCGAAATTTGATGCACAACGCAAATAGAACAAAGAAAGAACGAGGAGAAGCAGACGGTTGAAAATGAAAGGAAGAAACGGGGAGCAGCAATTGAAGCAAGTAAGAAAATACGCGAGCTAGCAGAAAACGAGGATGCAGACTAAGCAGGGAACAGTAAATGAGAACAGTTCACATTGTGTTGACTTATAAAAATTAAGACTGAATTTTTAGGGGAGTTGTGAACCGAAATTAGTATAGGCCACATTAGGTGGCGTGACAAGGGGCGGGGACTTTTATAAACAAGATTGACATTTTGAAGAAAGAGCAAAGTACTTAGAGTTGATAGACAGATAGTACAAAAACAACATTGAGACTGTGAGACATATCGTGATTCGTGAGACTGTGAGAAATTTAATATATTTTAGGTTTAAGTTTTGTAAGTTTTATTTTTGGATTTTCGATTAAATAATTAATAGTATACTACGTGAGTAATGAGTTCGGTATAGTGTCATAGAAATATTGACCTGTTTGAATTTCTTTCGATTTTAAATGTTCTTTTATCAATACATCCACTGCAGCTTTTTCATCTATTCGGCCTTAAGAGTACATGTCAGCAAGATTACCGTCATAAATGACGAGTGTGGACACAACAATTAATTGCACAGTCGGCTAAACCTGAAACTGATTTATTTATCCGTCGTTCTTAAAGAAAAGTTGCTCATGATTTGTTGTCTGTTTTCAGGGAACAATAAACATGAATATATATTCTATTCCAACGCAACACACATTTCCTATGTTTCTGTTGATGGTGGCGAATCTACGGCTGTTCTATCGGCGCAAAGTGCAAACCTAGGTTACGATGAACAGAACTATCGCCTCTGGTATTATGATACGGTTGCTGCTACACTCCATAAGGCGAACTTAGACGCTAGCGGTTCGGAAACTGTTTCTGTTCCATCAACCTTTGGTCAATTTACAGTTGACGGCGTGAATCAAAGTATCTACTACCTGAACGACAACGACGACACCGTTAAATCAATTGATTACAATGGAAATCACTTTCCAGAGATTGCTGCATTACAGGGCGGCAATGAATTCCAGGACATACAAATTGACCCCTATAACAGGTAGGTTACAGTATTAATCGCCAGCGTCTGTGTATGATGGGTGTTTGTTGATGGAATACCAAAAGGAAGCTTATAATGGACCATTCCCCGTTAACCAAAATTTTGATCTCAACAAGTCTAGACAAAATGCCATCATAGCATGAAAGAGCATCACAAAAATTAGTAATATTCCAAAGTTTCGTTGCGAAATGTTGTAAAATGCGGAAAATATAGCCTTGCGAAATTTGCAATTTTCAGTCATTTTAGATTACAAACGGGAAATGGTTACCACTTTTCCAAAATTTTGATCTTAACTAGCCTAAACAAAAATTTCATCACAGCGTGAAAGTGCATCATAAAATTAGTAATATTCCAAAGTTTCGTTGCAAAATGTTATAAAATACGGGTAATATAGCCTTGCGAAGTTTGTAATTTTCAGTAATTTTGTATTACTCACAGAAGTGGTAACCATTTCCCGTTTGTAATCTAAAATGACTGAAAACTGCAAATTTCGCAAGCCTATATTATCCGCATTTTACAACATTTTGCAACGAAAGTTTGGAATATTACTAATTTTGTGATGCTCTTTCAAGCTGTGATGAAATTTTCGTCTAGACTTGTTGAGTTCAAAATTTTGGTTAATTGGGGAATGGTCATTATACTTTTAGACCAATCAGAAACAATTTAATTATTTCGCCAACGAACTTATCATTCAAAACACTCGCAGTTCGTTCTTCACCAGATATAAAACTTTTCAGTACTGTGTTACGAGCCGGTCCCTACTATTTTGTCTGGCCGCACTGGTTCTGTTTACTCCCAACAAAAGAATGTAAATCTAAGCATTTTACTTTTTGATATATATATATATTTTATACTAGAAAAAGCATTAGTTATATTAATTAAGTTATATGATAATATAGTTAATTAGGCTATATGTTATAATTAAACTTATCTGTCCGAGTGAGCAATCGCAACTTGATATAGCAACAGTTCAAGTGTAATTCGTAATATCCACAAGATATCCATGCTGTTTTCTTTCTACGTTTTATCAGCGCGTTAAAGCAGCTTCGTCTTCAGCCATGGAGCACTCTTTCTTAATCTTTGATCATTGCTCTATTGTTAATCATAATGCTAATAATCCTGTTCACTGATGCGCGAAGCTACTTTTATAGTGTTAGTCAGAGAATGACTTTGCCATCTTGACGCATTTCCTATACGCAATGCAGCTGTGATCGTTGGTAGAAAGTTCTTTGACCACATTCATGTCCGTAATTGACGTTATTTGTGGACAAGGCGTTTTCTTTAATCTTTAGAACTATTTACTCTATGTGCTTACACGTGCATGTAAGCTATCTAATATGAATAAGTATAAGCTATAGTATAATATAATAATAGTATATAATATGTAAAATTACATGATGGTAGCCATCATGTTACAACTGCACCATGCATGCAGAATGCTGCAGGTTTGATTCCTCTCAGAAGGCCAGTAGTTGCTTTTTCGCAGCTACTCATGGTTAAGTCAAAGTGTCTAAAATTTATAATCAAAATTATTATTTACAAAAGTTTTCAATAAATAGTCATATCAAGGGAGATGCCCAAAACATACAGGCATCACCTTAATATATGTGCATGTACTTCAAGTTAATGCTCTACAGCTCAGTTAGTTACAACGCTGCACCTAAATAGCATGCCAATTGTTGCATTTTTTAGGTCTAAATATATATATAAAATTTATTTAACTTACCTTGTTACCTTAGTCTGCCTTTCATGACTGTGGACTATTTTGAGGTGCCTGAGATCACCTTAGCAACCTTTTGATTACTTCCAATTAACCAAAGACAATATTGCCTTGGACTGCCTTTGTTAGACTCTCGTACTTAGCATATGTATAGCTACCTTAAAAAAATCATTAATATTTTATGAACATTTATCACTTATAGACCGGAAGCGAGGGGGATTCGGCGAAATATTACCCGAAGAAAGCCCCTCAGGAAGGTTTAAAATTGAATTATTCATTACTCATTAATACTATTTATGTTTTGTCGGTCATCTTGTGGTCATACGTGTTGTCCCGCGTGGTCAACGCGAATACTGTTCTGTTACCTCGTTCCCACAGGTTCTTTTGTGCCGGGAGAAAAATTACACCATAACAGAGAATCCCAAGACTTTACTTTATTGTTCCGTGTATAGACACCACATTTTCCAACTAAATTTGACTTCGTATATCACTTACATTAATTCACAACTGTTGTGCTTCGCTATTATATCTCAAAAGTCTCATGCAATAATATCAATATTTTTTGTTATATTTACGCGGTAATACGATACTAATATAAATAATGAATGCATTTTCCACTCCATGAACATGGGGTGGAACATTGTCAAAAGGAAAGCGAGCTCGCTAATTGATGACGTAAGGCGTGATATCGCGATTAAATTCATGCTCATGTGCCACAAACTAAGCTTCCTGATTGGACAATTTGAAGTTGAGGTATAATATTACCGCCTATCACATTGTGGATACCAATCACATGCATACACTTTTCTGTTTAGATATACTTCTATAAATTCTAATATGGGTTTAGCAAAATTGCATTTTTTTGAAAATCTCACTAAACTTTATAAAATTATATGACGTGCTACTTTGAAACAGAAACAACTATTGATACTGTGATTTCCGATGCTTGCGTTGCCAAAAATGAAATATTTTCTCCAAATCTGTTCGGGACATACGTAAATTTGGAAAAAAATTAAGGATATTTTAAATTATTAATTATTCCTCAAAAAAATCCCTGTTGATAATATTTCGTGTTATATATTCTTCGACTCAAAATTTCCATCTATAAAACGTTTCGAACGAAGGCATTTCGCTGGAAATGGTAATATTGCATCTCTATCACGTGTTTACTTAATTTTATCTATGGCACCCGTGCAACGGCATATAGTTTTATTCAAGAAGACCAAAGCTTTGGTCATTGAATAAACTAATTGCATGGGAACACAACACGATCACTGATGACTATTTCTTACCACAGCATGCATGCGTATTTTTCAATTGCATTTACTTTCCAACAGGATTGTTTATTAAACAGTTTAAGGTTACGCAATTTGCAGACCTATCATATAAGAATATCTGGGCGGGTTTAATGCAAAGAGTTCTTTCTGTGTAACTTTGAAAGCATCAAATTTATATTTTAGTATATTTCTTGCAACCATGCATATAACAGTCAAATGAAGTAATTATTTATTTGTTCATTCAGGTCCCTTTAGGGAATTAATATCATTGGAAATCGTCTTTAATTAATTAACGCTCGTAATATCATATAAATATCAAAATTGTTATTCTCTGGGGAAATATGTAATTTAGCCTACATGCATGCGTTTCGAAAAAAGCAAAGAGAAAAAACAAGAGAAACACTATAATAATATCATCATTAACTTTCTTCATTATTACAGAGCCACCGATATTTTTAGGGGGTTTCTTCTCCAGAGGCCCAACTACAAAAGGGGCCGTCAAAGAAAGGCCCTTAAAATTTCTTTGTCTTAGATTTCTTAACCGAGAATATGATTCTTAACTGCGTCAGTGTGGAAGAATGGACATTAAAGTGGAATATGTTGTAAAACGCTGCTTTTTTCGTTTTACAACAAGGAGGAATTTCGTTCTTGACCAATCAATGCACTTGTTGACATTTTCTCTCTAAGCCAATCAGAATGCGTAATTGGTTACTACTTCCGGTAAAAACATACATTTGAACAGAAAACATAGGGTCTTAAATAAAGCTTCGAGGGGGCAGGATTTTTAATGTTTTGATTGGATTTAACGTGACGAGGTAAAATAAGAATTTTTAAAAAAATTCGCCGCTGGGATTTCTGTTTTATTCCCTATAGTTTTAAAGTTATCGGCATTCGAACAGCGGCGTATAAAAAGAGCATAAGTTCGAATTCCGATAATTTTAAAACTAGGCAAAAAAATGCAAATCCTAGCAGCAAATTTTTAGAAAATTTCTATTTTACCTTGTCACGTTGAATCCAACCTAAAAAAACTTTAAAAACCTAACCGCCTCGAAGCTTTATTTAAAACCCTAAATTTTTATTTCAAATGTATGTTTTTAAGTGGGCTTTCTGTGCTCGCAGGGAAACTACATACAATAACCAATTACGCATTCTTGAATTGATT